TGGATATTCAAATATATTTTATAGAAACCACATATAAAAATATGCTTTCTTTGAGCAAATCAATAGAGAATCACGTCTTCTTTATATTTTATACTTAAGGAAGGAGTATAATTAGGTTTTAAAAAGTTTCTAATTAAGAGACTTTTTAAGACCGCGATATTTATATTCACATAGCATCGTACCACTGCTCCTCATGAAATGTACAACATGGTCCGCATCTATTGCAAAATTTTATGGATCCTGTATGATATCTCTTTAATGACACAGAAAAATATGGGATTTTCTTTACGCGGAACGCATGCACCTTGTAGACTGAAATCACTAAGCGCTAATGCAACGAATGATCAGGCTCCAAATTTTTCGGCAATTAAAAAACTTTTTTTAAACCTAATTATACTCCTTCCTTAAGTATAAAATATAAAGAAGACGTGATTCTCTATTGATTGACTAAAAGAAAGCATTTTTTGTTTGTGGTTTCTATAAAATATATTTGAATATCCAAGACCATCGAAAATCAATGGGAAAAATGCATGCTACTTAAGTAGTCATTTTTTACCGAGCACGCTTCCTACAGGAGATTGAAAAGGAGTGCATTTAAAAGCCGACATCCTGCCAAGTCCAAAATGTTATAACATTATGCCTTAAGATAATCAGTATCACAACCGCGACAAAGTAATCCTTCCTAATCATAAACGCATTTCAGAATTTCAGCCAACATTTCATGAGATAGGTCACGCACTGTAAGGTGATCAGCAATCGGTCTGCACGTTCAAGATCACCGTCAAATGTCGCGAAAAACGAAATTATCAGTTCCTCTAGCCGCGGAAGACTGTTTACTTTAAAGAATTCAGGAAAGCAAACTGAAGTACACCTTCGGCTTCCAGCATAAATTATAGGGATAAAGTAAGCTTCCACAAGACGAATACAATAAATTAAATTCTTGTCCTTCTAAGGAAATGTGATCGAAGATTTGAGGCGACGAAAATCAATGAGAAAATGCACACACTATCTCGCATTGGCTTTTTCACGGGTAAGACTTATACTGGTAAATGAAGAGAAACCCAAGGAAGGCCAGCGCGCTGTCAGTTAGCAGCGTGATTAATTCTACCAAACAATTCGCTTGGCTTTAAGTTATATTCAAGGATTTTGGTCTCTACCACGCGAGTTTCGGCGCATATTGTAATGAACGCCACCAACACGTTAATTTATCATTAGCTTATAAGTGGTCGCATAAAAAATCTGAGTTTAACCGACAAAGAATAGAGTAAGCAGTCCATGAAGTATTCTGGCAGCCTCATTCCAAGGAAACCAGCACAGGTATTTAGCCAATTCACCAGGTGTTGCTGGTGGTGAAACTGATTAATTAAGGTGATAAAACTTCAGATGGTCAGATGGCTTACTCCTGGCACTGTTATTTTCGCCTGTTAGCCAAAAGTGATGCGCACATACCTTTTTTCTCGCTCAAGACTATCTTCCGCAATTGTTTTGCTAACATGCCGACGTATGTTCTCTTACTCTCGTGCACATACGCCTGCTCGTCCAATCAGCGTAGTCCTGCTCTTGTGCCAAACAGTCTCGTGGACAGTCAGCGCTTGAGAAAATGGCAAGCGAACACAAGTGTCAGCATGGTAAACGAGGTCTCTTGACTATTCCATTCATGAGCAAACATTAGAGAGTGGACACATCGTGAACGCCAAGCAAACCTTCCAAGAAGTTATCCGGATCAAAGCCGGATATCAGTGGCGGCTATCAGAGAGCTTATTGGCAACATTGGAGACAGTAGCAATCGAGTTGTGCTCTTCTGTCCTGCCAGCACACAGAATAAGCTTTCGTGGGCCCCTCAGTTCCATGACCAATCATCATTTAGCTGATTGTCCGTCTGCAAGTGGTACCAACTTAGTCGGACTCATATCCATGTTTATTTATAACTGGAACCTCATCTTCCTTAATTTTCTTATTATAACAATGAGTTGAGGACGGTTTATAAGGTATTCAAGATTTTCCGCGGACTTTGACCTGTTTTATGAATTTTGAGCCATGCTATATGCGGCTGGATTGAAGGCTGGAGTATGGGCATTCCGATTTAGAGACCGCGCGGGTTGTCGAATTACGACGGACGGGGGATGGTTAGGGTGTTAACTGGTAACCATTCTCCCTAAACATTGACCGAACGTCTAAAAGGTGGTTTCGATAGGAGAGGATCACATAAGAAAGAGTGCTATGCTAATTACCATGCAACACCATCCATAAATTTATAACATCCGTCCGAATTTCGACTTTCCGCCAGAAAGCACCCCAGTCATGCGCAATAATGACCATCACTGAAGGCAGTCTAGACAAGCCGTACTTTTGCGTGTATTTTCCATGATCGTACAAGTTTGTCCACATTATAAAATGCGCAATAAAAGCATTTTCGCGCTCGTTTTAGGAGGAATTATTTCCAAATTAAAGTTTGCAATTTTAAGTTTTAATAACTCTGTATTTATATGAAAGTTTGCGACGGGGACATTATTATTTAACTAGCAGAGTGCCTGCGTCTTTATAAAAGAGACTAACTCGAAATTCAACAAGATCTATATGGTATCTTCTTAATATCGTAAACTGTGTGATTTTTATTAAGTGGAAACCATATGGAGGTGCAATTTTTTATACCCTATGCACAAGGATAACAGCAAGTTTGGCTTAAAATAACAACTGAATTGGTAAACACCTTCAAAACTAAAATCACCCTTTCATAAAAGACAAAATTTTAAGGAGATACAATTCCCAAAGAGGAGGGACATAAGAAAAGATGTTTTCATATACATAATTCGACTGAATTCGAACAAGTATCGGGAATAATTGTAAAAAGGCTTAGTATTTTCGCAGGAATTTTGGCGTCTGCGACATTTGCACGTCAGCATAGGGATACTGAATCGAAAGGCAGCATCCCGAAGTGCATTTGTGATCTTGAAAGAGCATTGTATGCTGGTTAGTATTGTGGCCTCTCTCTTGATTAATCCTCCATACGAAAAAATAAACTTCAGAATTTATGTCGGTCTTTCATGAGAAGGATCACCGAGTCTAGGTAGACGCCACTCATGCGTGACTTTTAGTATTGCCAACTGCAGCCAGCCACGCGTAGACCTGGGACCTAAATGGCATGGCGTTAGACTCAGGTCCCTCCAACTGGAGGTTGGAGAAGGGCCGGTTGTCTACAATAAATAGACCGGGACTGGTAATCTGAGCCTCTTGCTTATCCATGCCTGTACTACTTTGCGAACGGACACTGCCCAAGAGACACTTTAGTTTATGACTGTAGATTTCACTTACCTACCTTACGTGTTTCCGTAGAAAAATCTTGCAAGCAACCTGGGTGAGTCATTTTTCATAGATCTGCAGAAACATCGTGGCGATGTCAGAGGAAGTTTTACTCCAGAGTCCGAGGGAAATTCGTCAGTCCCAGGTGTCTGCGATGGGCACGTATGTTTATCATCAGATTCAGAATCAGGTGCTTGGCAAGCTTTTAGTGAATGTGCTAGAAGGGAGGGAATAGCCCCATGGCATAATAATCAGGCATTGACCTCAACTCCGAGGGAAGTTGTCGGGCAGTCACTCTGACGGCGACATCGTTGACTGCCAGCGAGGCGGACCGTAATTAAAAGTTCAACAACTTTTTGGGCATCAAAGCGCAATAGACAGCATCTTGCCGTAACCCCCTCAACTTATTCAAAAGTGGACAACGGGAAAGCTGGGGGACCCACTGACGAGCCGAACCCCTCGCAGCTGCGTCAGGCAGCGGCATAAGATCGGCGAAACACGCCTGTCCGGGTTTTTAGCTAATATCCGTGTTGTTAGTACGGTAAATCATTAAAGAATTCTATACTACTGGCTGCCCGTTGGCGATTTGTGAATAGTAAGCGGTTATTCCGCAGTAGCTGATGGATTTCAGCCAAAATATTCATATCAAACTTCGGACCGTGCCTGGAAAGGTCTGTTTCGAAAGAGTTAGTCCAAGTTCGCGCATTAGTTTCCTTGGAAATTAAACAAGATAAATTTTGCTCCTTAGTCAAGTAGGCGCGAGATCATCAAAACAACAAGCACATGCGCCTTACGCAGCCATGCAACCAGCGGCTGCGACACCACCTAAATGTATAGCAATTATCATAAAAATCGGATTTGTCTGGGGTAGTCCGGAGACAGGAAGTTGGATGTGACTTCCGAACCCTGGGAGAGCGAGGTGAAAAACAACAATAACCAGCGTTGATGCTGGATGCACTCCTTACCTGATTGCTTCTGATGATAATGAGAAAGTTGGCCTTCAACTTGTGCTGCAAAAACCAGTCTTGCAAAAGCGCGCTCCCACCAGGACCGTGGGATTCTTCGTTTTGTAAACGCCTACGGTAGAAACAGTCAGCCCGTTGATTTGGAGCAGACCTTAGCATGTAAGTGGCGAAATAGTAGGTATGGTGGCTAGTTACTTGGACCTGTACTAACAGATCTGGTTTCTATAAATTATCACCCCACCTATATAAGCATATCCATCTGAGCCCATGCTTTACAAAAACGTAGGTGGCCAGATTGTTCGATATAAACCGTCCGAAAAATAGTATGCAAAGCAGACCCGGACATTGGACTAACAAACCACGATTGATGGTTAGCTAAAAACTACTGATTCACGTCCAACTGCAAGCCGACATTCGGTTAATTAGATTTGTGCCATGACACGTGCACTGAGACGAGTGTCTATCATATTATGCTGTCACATAAGACTGGTATTCGGCTGTCGTCCGAAATGACGACTCTAATGCCTCTAGGTCTTTCTGGTTAACATTTATCGATCCGGTTATAAATTGCTTTTGTTTCAAATTCTTCTGACTACAGCCGCCAATGTGAAGGAGAGGATTCGAACCCCGGAACATTTTGTTTATTGCCCTGAACTTTCGGACTCCTGCAGGAGTCCATCGCCAGAGATTGTAGCAGCAACAGAACAAACGACAGTTATAGGGCATTTAGGCTAATCATCGACCGACGGCACAAGACTGGATGTGACCGCGCAGGGCTCTATACGCCGGCGCCAGATCGACAAATCGATTGGCCGAGTTCTCATCTGAGGCCCAGGCTTCAATTAATTCTCGACCCGTTTTGTTTCCGGCGTGGGCGACTATTTTGTTGGCTGCGAAATTGAACTCGTGACCCATTTCGTAGGTGTGGGCGGCCACTTGTGATAATGCGTCGTCTCGTCGCACAGCCAACTTTTGTTCGTGTATGCGCGGTTCGAGCATGCGTCTAGTCTGGCCAGTTTAGTTACAAGGACAGTTTTGACACGGGATTCGACACAACACCTCAAAGTGCTCTTTAGACGTTAACCGGTCTTTAATTCTCATGACCCTATTGCGCATGGTGGCTTTGGGTCGGTGTACAATTCCAACACCTAGCTCCGCAGCAATGCGCTCGGTCACTTCTGAAATGCCCTTGTATATGGCAGAGAATGCCATATCGTCGGTGGTGTTGTTGTTTGAGTCCTCTGTGGGTGACCGCGTAAATGTCCTCATATGTCTTAGAAAAAATGTCGACTAGTTAGACCGAGATAGCTTCCTCCACAGAAATGACTGACTGAGCAGCTATAAGACAGCACGCTTTGAGTATGTAGCATGCTAACCCAAGTCAATAAGTCCGCGCTTATACGGACCATCAGCTAGCTTGACTAAAATGGTGGGGAGGAAGGCGATAAACAGTCCAATCACTGCACATCGTGTAGACACTGACTACTGTTTGAATCCCATTGAAGACCTTTAAAATGCCCCACAGTACTGAGGCACCATTCAAAAGGCCATGAATCAGCGGCAGACATGCTCGCTGAAGGTTATCTAATCGGGTAAACCCGTTTTATGTGCGTCAAAATGTGTCCTGCAGCCCCCTAGTTACCGAGGCCCAGGGTTGATTAATCGAGTACCCGCATTAACTGCGAATCCGGGCGATTGTTAGCAATTATCCGCGCCTCATGACATTCTGTCAGACATACCCTCTAGTCGCAATGCCGACAACGATTGTTGTAATCCGAACGCAAAGGACGGGTCAGCCCCATTTTGCGCTTTTAGTCCCAGGTTAAAAGCCAGGACACAGGTCTGTTGAGCTAACGAGTAATTACCGAAAGCCCATGCCTGCCCAACCGCGTTGACTGTATTTTAAACAGAACAGCACCTGAACACCATGTCAATTATCTGCAGGCAAGAACAACCGCCGGATTTGCAGCGTTCGTTTGGTCACGTCTGCGAGCCATAAGTGGCGCCGCTTCCAACCCCCTACCCCCAAGTAAATAGCCTGTTAGGTTAGCAAATTTAAGAGATCCGATCTACAGCGTGAGAGATGTTAGGGCTCACAGGACCAAAAGAATTGCATGACCGACCTTTCAAAGCGTTTTGTGCAAAAATAATCGGACGGATTTGTTGGCCTATAAAGTTCTACGTCATTACTTCCGTCAAGACTAGGACAAGACGGTCACAAGGAGCTTAAAAATACCGAGCAAATACGGCCCGTCGACTAATTCATCCGAAAGGGGAGCATAGGTGCGAACGAACTCCATTGAGATGATGACACACAACGCAGATTCACAAAACAACGGCCAGAGGGCCAAAGTGACGAAAGAAAAGAAAAAAGCTGATTAACCCAAGGTCAAATAATTCGGCCGCTTATTTTAAATTCCAGTCGTTTTTTTGCACAAACTTTCATGATAATGGAGAGTCGGCCAAGCCTTCTGTTACGTCAACCACGCAATTCCTCTGATCCGGTGGGCCCTACACATTTCTCAGATGTCCTGTTAGTAGAGCGGTGGCTTAAAGGTTTGATAAGCATACCATGCGGTACATAAGTCGCCGCCTCTGAAAACAAAAACACATCTTCTGCCAATGCTTGATTTAATCAACATTCGAAGAGTTTTATTTTTTATGAGATATATGCGGACAGAACTTTGTGAATTCATGCAGTTCCTCGTTGATATTCATCATCATTCTCTTTTACGAAATTTCCCACCTTTTCATCCATAATTTCATCAGGCGGTCTTCCTGATCGCGGCTTAATGGATAAGTTTCCAGTGTCTTCATACTTCAGTCTTTAGTACTGAACTGTTGTCCTAGCTGGTGGTGCCCGACCAAAACTTTGTTTAACATTTTGGTAGACTTTGACATAACTCTGGTACACTATAAACACTTTACCGGCAATCGAAAATTCAGTATCTCCAGCTGCTCCCATCATATCGCAACAATGAAACCCTATTTATTTACGAATAAAAAAGTACATCAAAGCAACTCTGTTAGAAATAAGAAGCGTCGATCGGTGAACCAAATCCAGTTTATCAAGTAATTATGCATGTAGACAAGGGAAATCAACCTGCCCAATATTTAGAGACGAGGACTTACGAATCGCGAGGTATATTTAATGGGTAGTGTCGTACGGACTTGTCTATGAAGCATTCTAGCGCTTATACTTTCTTGTAGAACTGGCGGCTCTCTCTCTCTCAAGTCATTGGACCTGCGGTTGGAGTAGTGCATGGTTCCTGAACGCGGCAATCTTTAGGCCAAGTCACCTGACAACATCAGAAGGAGAGAGTTACTATCTACAAGACCCCGAGCCGCTGTCGTGGGCGGCAGTGGCCGCCGCTAGCGAGACCAGGGCGTGTGCTGATGGTGTTGAATCACGTGCGAGATGGAAAGAGGGGGAGAGCTAGAGAGGCCGTGATGCCAGTTGCCTCCAAATGTACCTCTGAGCTGGGCAGGTCTGCTTCTGTCCATGTCGTGCGCGTGTCGCATTACCCGAAGGGTAGTGTGTTAAGTGGCCTGTTTCGCATATCTGCCCCTAAAACTGGCCAACACAGGGGTTGGATCGGTGTCGGGCAGGTGTTATTGACAATGCGCACTCATAACAAATGCCAACACTGGGGTGTGGGGGCAAAAATCCTGATCAGTGTACGTCGTGAGCCAGGAGATGTGGCGGTACGCTCAAGTGTGCGGGTTTTCGCCCCGGCGGTCACCTGCACCCTCTCCCGCCTCTGGTCGCCTTAACTACCGGGGTTCAAACGGGGAAGGAGGAGGAGAGAGTGCTGTAGGAGCTGCGCAAGTCTCCTATAACAATGAACTCACTCAGGCGCAAGCCACCATTCCTACGTTCATCCTGCTGTGGAGCACATGATGGAAATAATAGGTAACGACTGTCGAACTGTCGTACCGCCTTAGCCAGGTGGGGGTGCGTTCAAGGGGACACGAGCGACCGTGACGGTCTTGATACAGGTGCACTTGAACTGAAGTCCCTTGAGTGGCTGCAAGTCTGTGCACGTGGGAAAACTAGAAATGGCTTCACACAGGGTGATTTTGGTCTGTTAGAGCCCCTGGTAAAGTAAGCGGGTGGTTCAATAATAGCCGTCGACCACGGAAAAGCTCATGAATACAGGCTGTAGGGAGAATTCGCCAGTAGGACCGCCATAAATGGCTCCCTAAACAGGACATGAGAACAGGAACCGACCGCAATAAGAGTGGCTTTGAGCTGACTTCCACGGAAATTAGGGTTAGGTTAAGGATTCGGTTTAAGCGTAGATTTCAAGTCAACGGTAAGGAAAGTCAAGATCAAGTTCAGAGTTGAAGTAAGGGCCAGCGTTAACAGGCTAAAGTTTGGAGCAGGATCAAGGTTAGGATAAGAAGAACGGTTTAGTTTTATGTCAGGGTTATCTTTGGGGTTAGGGCAAAGGAAGATTACCCCTTTCCAGAATTACGTGCAGGTCCACCTTTATAACTTGGACCGGCATACCTAGTCCTATTTCCTGCTTGGGGGGCCACATAGGTCCGTCCCACCAATTCCCCTTCAAACACTTGGTCAGTAAAAAGACTTGCCAGAGAAAAAACGATATTTTATCGGATAGAACGCCGTATGAAATAACCTGATTAAAGACCTTGTTTGCCGAGTTTCTTGAAGCACCAAGTGTTAACGGTATTTCACTGTAAACCTCTCAGGTATCCGTCTGCGATTGAATACCAATTTTCTGCTACATTGTCTTTCATTCGAAAATGTGATATGCCTAGCATCCTATTTCTAAAAGTAGGTAACGGTCGAAATTCCCTACAAAGTTGACTCTTCGTTCTCAGGGTTGGTCCTCCGAGTGCAAATCTGCTTCAGAAGACCGGTTAGTCTATCGGTGCAATGCCCAGTAGAGCGTCCACGCACTAGCGAAATATAACGTAGCAGGACAGATGACTAGATGCTCCCCTACTATCGTGGCGTTACGCCATAATTTTAAGGGGGTTAGGGTTAAGTTTGAAGGTACGACTAAGGCTTGGGTTGGGGTTAGTGCTGGCGTCGGCGTTAGGGCACGGGAAAAAGAATCCTTACTGGAATTTAGTTCAGGAGCACTTTCTATACAAGGGGGGAACAGGGGAGATACATATTCCTATGTCCTACCAATAGAACAACACGCCCTGTTCACTCGGTTATGTTAGCCTAAGCACAGAAAGGCATAGTGTGAACTACATTCCCGGCGGAGACCAGCTTTGCATATACTTCCTGTCAGACTACATGAAATGGGTCTAGGAAGTTTTAAAACCTGAAACCTAGCATGAGTTTCGGAGACTCAGTTGTTTACAAGCAAGGAAAGTTCTGCAAAATAAAGGAAATAAATTTCCTTCCTCTCTAACGGCGACAAGAAAGATGTGAGTTTTGAAGTCGCCTCTCAGGCATAACTAGCTTAATCGATTACCGGAAGAGGCATAGTCTTACTGTTATAGTCGGCAAAACTAGCATGCTGAGACATCTCGAAAGCGTTTCTTGATAATGTTTGTGTCTGAGAAAGGCCCCATTTGCAGGACGATTAAAAAATAGTGCCACCGAGAAAAGTGGGCGGTAGGGCACGAAGATATGGACCCGCCAATACAGGCAGCCTTGTGGAAGATTTCAGGAGAGATTAGGGTTAGGGTAAGCAGTACAACACGGGGTGTAGATCCCCCCTGATTTTTAGCTTGAGGCCAGCTGTAGCGCTGGGATCCTTATTCTGGTGTCCAACTAAATATATTATCATTACAACGGCCTGCGGTGAACATGTTTTAAGCTGAATTAAAGTAAGCATTACGTTTTGAATTTCCTCGCTGCGCTAGTTGTCTGATAAAAGTCGGTGTGAGTCACTTATGTGGCCCCTTAAACAGGACACGGGAATAAAGACCTCCTGCTCAAGGGATAAAGATGGACCTACGCATAGTTCCGGAAATGGTTAATCTTCCTTTGTCCTAACCCCAACAATAACCCT